TAATGTGGCGAAATTTAAGGATACTTTTGGAATGATCTCAAAATTGAAAATGCAACTACAAACCCAAGCCGCCTTCTCGCTGAGTACTAAGTCTTTGGTTTCTTCATCTACTCTAATTAGAAGCACACGTATCCTCCGTCCCACCTGCAACATCACGACAAAATATTACGAACCCTTGCTGAATAGGAGAAACTTAGTAAGCCAAAACATATTATTAACATCAGCCATGCAATGGCTAAATCCTTTTCCATATTTTGTCTGCTTTAGGGTCAACATATGTAAGTACATCTCGCTCTCTCAGCATAAGTACATCTCTCTCTCTCTCTCTCTCTCTCTCTCTCTCTCTGATTTGTTTTCCCTCCAAATTTGGATGAATTTGAAATAGTTCTTCACGTTAATCAACCAGTGAGACTTGAAACTCGCTTCCTATAAGAACAGCAAGATGAAAACGCACAACGCAAAAGTGACTCTAAACTGGAGTAAGTTTCTTTATCTGAATACCATATTATGAGTGCCATACATAAATGCACAAACATAACCATTATATGAAATCAGAGGAAGGACATGTGCAATAGTAATCAGCCATACGTTCCCTTTCATTTCAGTGTAATTGTTAACTCTATTCATCAGTTCAGCTTTTGGAAGAAAAGCCCTTAGCCCCTGCAAATCCAAATCACAAAGGATTATGGGTCTAGCAAGCCTCACAGCTAAAAGCATGCACGAGACTTGTAATGTAATCAACCTCTATTCTTGTAAGGAGACCTCCAGTATTCCACTCAGTGAGTATAACTTCAATCGGCTCATTCAACTGCTTGATCTGCCAAAATAAAATGATGGAATATTTACACTACTCGATCAAAGGAGACCATAGGCTTTGAGATTAATGAAAGCAACACATCATAGAGAATCCAAACATGCGTACACGAAATCAACCTGAGATCACCACCGACAATCAGAATCAACAGTGAAAAATATATTGTATTGTACCACAAGTTAATAGTACCCAGAAAGTAAGTCCCGGTGATACTTAGCCAACATCCAAAACAAATAACTCCTAATCAACTAGGTGATATGAAAGGACACGAGAAAAGCAAATTCAAACAAAGAATTCACAGTTCAAAGATAGGCCAACATAGGAGATGGTTAACTATGCCATAAAGCAAAAACTTGTTGCAATATCACTACCCCTAACAGAAACATACTGTGATTTTATTTTCTTCTCTTTTACTTTCTTGTCCTTTTTCAAAAAAATATGCTTCCTAGTCTTTTGACTGTTATCTGTTAGAAAGAGATTTAATCGAAACCATTGCTTTGAGAATTCTTAAACTACTCTGCAAGAATGACCTCCAGCTAGATATCTACATAGCACATAGCAATTAGAAAATGTAATCACAAGAGACAGCATCGTGATATGTTAAGAATTAATTAAAATGCAATAACCTAAGAATGCATTTGGACAGAAATTCGATTGAAAGGGATTGGCTTGGGG